AACCACCCTCATTCGTCCGAGTCTGCAGCCCCTTCTGAATTTCGTTGTCATTTCAGTATTCAGCGATTCAATTGAATACTAGATAAAGTTTTTTTTAATGATGCCACTAGGCCACCAATTTCACACCTTACCTTAGTGCTACAATATACCATTTTCTCACATGGATTGAACAAATTTAAATTTCGAACTTACCTGAAATTATTTCTTGAAGTTACTTTATATATATATATATATATATATATATATATATATATATATATATATATATATATATATATATATATATATATATATATATTGCAGAGTCACTTACCACTTAAAATATTATCATCACCAATTTAAAAGAGCGTAGTTGAAACCCCTTTGCAACATTTTTTTCTCGAGCAACCCTCGTTTAATTGATTCATATCCACAATTTGTTTTTGTATTAATTAATAAGTTGTTAGAAAATTAATCTCATTAAAAGTATCATAATTTTTAAATTCCTTAAGAGTAACCTTTAGAAGCTACTTTCTTCAAATTTAATCTAACGTCAGTCCAATTCACTTATATATTATACATATATTTTTCTAAAGATAACTTATTAATTAGTAATCTCTCACATAGCCTAAATATATGGTAATTATTTTTTAATATATGGTAACTACTCGCAAAACTGTCTTATTCAAAAATTCTTTCTTGTGAACCACTGCTTAATATGATATTTATTAATAGCTGCGTAAGTTCATTAAGTAGCTTATAATTTATATTTTTTTTCATTTGCTTCAAGTTATGTGTATTCACCAAAATACTTTAGTTTAGAGTTAATTCCAATGAAATCCTAATGATTCAACCCATAATATTTGTTTTCATTTTCTTCGTTCAACAAATATTTGTTGGGAACATTTCGTCCTAGACATCAGGTTTTACATATACTTTACAACATGGTGGTAGTTATAAATCTTCAACTGTGAGATGTTCTTTTTCGGTATATAAAATTGGCGAATTGGTACATATCGTGTTATTCTCTTCTAGAATATTTACGTTGTGTGGTTCATCCCATACTATTGAGCCACCTTGTATTTCAATACTAAGCACTAATAAGTCTTTGGTGGTGTGATGCTACAATTTTGAGGAAGCTAATTATCTTTTGAGAGTCTCAACACAACAAATTTGTTCTAGAATTAATCAAAATCAACTTTGAGGATAATTTGTGAGTTATCCATTTCCCTCAAGTTGGCACCGGGCAGCTAAGTTCATATCTACATTCTTTTATAACACCTTTGTTTTCCTCTCATATTTACATTCTTTATACGAACCAACTACCAGCGTGTTAAATCCGACTCCGGTGGTTGAAATTTTCAACTGTGACTATGTTTTTTTAACTCTTACACATGTTATCAACATGTAATATAATATATTCTTTCTCACAATTATTAATATAATAACATGATCGCACTAGTCGTCATGGATAGTTGTGGATTATGACTTAGGCTCGTTTGGTGAGTTTTGAAGATGTGATAGGACATGAGTTTTTTTTTTAAATTTGAGAGGAGATGATATGAGTTTTGAAATCTGATTGGAAGGTGTTTGGTGAGAGAGACATATACTATGTATATATATTGTGATTATGAATTGTAGCAAAACAGTGACCAATCCACCGCTGAGGACTTCACCAAATTTTTTTTGCAGAGGAACGTATAGGAAACTAAACAGTGAGCATGGGTTATGAATAGAAAACATATTCCTCCGTCGTCTTTGTCGATGATCCGGATCAGGTGCTAGAAACAGGACTTTCGCGTTGCCCCATGGGAAGGAGACATAGAGTTGGATGCGAATATAAGAGGATTTTGATGTGTTGAGATAGAATTTTCCCATCTTCATCTCCTTCGATTTTGATAACAATGTCTTTCTCGTTTTCGATAGCAGTGAATTAAGGTTGGAAATTTCCCGTATCTCTAGCTTTCAAAATTAAATTTCTTTTTAGTTCACCAACCCAAAATTAGGACTTTGATATTAGAGATATCAAAATCCACTTTTTTTTTCTCACCCAAATACGCCTTAATTTAAGATTCACCTCCAAATTCAATACACATAAGTATTTCTTTATACAACTTAATAAACCAACCAATAACTAAATATTAAAGACAACAAATAATTATCACATGAGCAACAATAAGGATTCAGAGTTACCTCCTGGAACAGTGACGTAGTGAAGCTGTGGATGCTCGACACATGTATATACAATACGTGTTAAAATATTAGTTTTTTTTTCAAAATAGTTTTTTTTTTCAAAATTGATAATTTTTTTTTAAAAACAAAAAGATTTTTTTATTAAATATAAGTTTAATTATTTTGGCAAAGAATCGTTTTTAAAACCACATTCTCTGATACCAAAATGTAACACCCCAACCCGCGTAACCCGAACCAGCGGGTTAGCGAATCGGGTTGTTACTAAGTTGGTATTCGCATGCATAATTTTGTTAATTAAACCATCAGATAAATTATAAAAATTCATTCAAAGAGAGAGTAAACGAAACCATAGTTCATTGGAGTGATTAAATAAATCCAAATGTCGCGGAAGCATAAGAAAACCAAAGTAATGACCAACAGTCCATATAATCAAATAAAATAATGTACTTTAATTATTAAAGTAAACAAGAGCCATCCACGCCACACCACCACTTCACTGCCCTCCGGGTTGCCCATCCAAATCTGTGTTCCTACCTACGTGCAGTCAAACAACAACGACTACACGCTCAGCGAAACGCTGAGTGAAAATATACCTAAGCCAGCATCAACTCACAGAATAGTACCACATTAACATACAATCAACAACAGCATGTGATCACGGAGAAAAATAGCTTAAATAAACATATTTATGTTAACACCTTCCATTTGAACATCATGTCCTAATTTTATTCCACATCAACTACTTTGAGTCATGGCACCCCAAGCGATGCTATAAAAGGGCCAGCTCAGAAACCCAAAGGAGATTCACTTTGGGCGGGTTGAAGCCCCTGTCTCTGCGATGCCAGGACAGGTCGCGGACTTCCGTACGTACGTTTTTAACCCAAGACCACCGGGGGTGCGACGACGCCCCGCAATGGCCAATGTCCTAACCATATCCTATTGGTGACAGTCAATCCAATTCAGGTCCGCCTAATTATACTAGGTGGCCTATTTCTCATACATTATGCATAATCCACAATATTCACCAATAAGATTAATTTAATTTAACATTAGTTCACAAATTTACAACAAATCACGTAGCGTCATGCATAATCAACAGACCCACATGCATAATCAACAAACCCAAATTACAATTAATCAAACTTACCTGCGCGGAATTGAACCCAAGGAATCGATCCTCCGGCCCGCTGCCCCTGCCGGAACAGTCCCATCGTCGCCGGAACAACCCTGGCACCCCCACCGGTAGCCACCCCGGCTGCCCGAACCCGAAGCAAGGCCAAACAGCCCTGTTGGGCGATTCAGAAACACCCGAACAGTACATCAATTAACCCAAAATAGTCCCAACTTATCCAATTGCACCCAATTGAATCTAAATAGCCCAATTGAACCCGATTGAACCCGTTTGGACCCAATTGAACCCAATTGGACCCGATTGAACCCAATTGGACCCAATTGGTTCCAAGTGAGCTCAATTGAACCATAGCACCATCGCCAAGCCACTGCTTGGAACCCGGCCGGCCTACTGCCGAACGCCCCCGGCGCGTCGCCGGAGAAGGTGACGGAAAACAGCCCCAACATTCCCCCAACAATTTAAACCACAATCAAACCCAATTACACAATCAATTGCAAGATTAGAAGCTAAAGAAGTACTAATTCTACAAATTAACGCTAACTATAGGTATAGGAACCACGATTCACCTCGAAATTTGATGAATTCAACCTTGGATTGGGAAGGACTCGCCGCTGCAACTCCTCCCTGGTATCGCCGGCCTGCTGCACGNATAGAATTTTAAATTTTTGGATAGGGAATCTTTGAATAATTGATTATCAAGCTTTGACAATCGACTATCACCCTGTGTCTCTGAAAAATTTGTCTTCATCCTGTTGGAAAATTTTTGTAACACCCCAACCCGCGTAACCCGAACCAGCGGGTTAGCGAATCAGGTTGTTACTAAGTTGGTATTCGCATGCATAATTTTGTTAATTAAACCATCAGATAAATTATAAAAATTCATTCAAAGAGAGAGTAAACGAAACCATAGTTCATTGGAGTGATTAAATAAATCCAAATGTCGCGGAAGCATAAGAAAACCAAAGTAATGACCAACAGTCCATATAATCAAATAAAATAATGTACTTTAATTATTAAAGTAAACAAGAGCCATCCACGCCACACCACCACTTCACTGCCCTCCGGGTTGCCCATCCAAATCTGTGTTTCTACCTGCGTGCAGTCAAACAACAACGACTACACGCTCAGCGAAACGCTGAGTGAAAATATACCTAAGCCAGAACAGCGAGCTCTACAATGAAGGATTAACCCTCATTAATTAAGGAAAATTAGAAAACAATCTTCGTATTGAGAGGCTCAATAATTATTTAATTTTATAAATTAATTAAAATACTAAGCCGGGTTTCGGGGCGTTACAATTTTAGCAACGGGTTTATCCCATTTTGAGCTATAAAATGGCACCCAAATCCTCTCATTTTACACAGAATTCTTCAACATTTCAATACTCTTTCATTGCATAAGCATTCCTAATTTTCTTAGCTATTTGAGAGCCAATTCTTGAAGAAATAGTCGTGTTCTTGAGCATTTACTAGTTCACTCATATCTACTCTTTGTGAGAGTTTTATTCCTGAGTGTTTAAGTGTTTTTATACACTTTAAGGGAGGTTTTTCCCTTGTTGTAAATTCGAAGGAAGTTCTTTGTTCCTTCGTGAGAAGTCTTGGAGTGCGGTATCTCCGAGCAAAGGTGTTGAGGCTCGTGTGACTCGGGTTCTCAAGTTGTATCGGTTTGTTAAGCACCCTTAAGCTTAACGGAGTTAGTGTAGTTCGAGAGAGTCTCTCGGGGGGCTGGATTAGCCACTCGTTGTGGTGAACTAGGAAACAATTCGGTGTGCTCCTTCCTTACGCTCTTTACTTTTTCGCTCTCGTTTTTAATTTCCTGCGATTTTGTTTTAAACGCTATTCACCCCCCCTCTAGCGTTGGGCCTTTATTCTAACAATTGGTACCGGAGCCATACTCTCTGAAAAACTTAACCGTTTGAGAGAAACGATCAATGGCTTCTACTCAAAGTTCATACGCAGGTTTAGGTGAAGGGCAATCCACCACGAGGCCTCCGTTGTTTGACGGGACAAACTACACCTATTGGAAGGAGCGGATGAGGATTTACATTCAATCCACCAACTTTCTCCTTTGGAGAATTATCAAAAATGGTGAAGACGTGCCAATGAAGAAGGTCGAGGAAACCAATGTCCCTAAGACCGAGAATGAATATGATGCACAAGACATCAAGAAAGTGGAAAACAATGCCAAGGCCATCAACATCATCTATTGTGCTGTTAACCCGGATGACTACCGGAAGATTTCTTGTTGCACCACCACGAAGGAAATGTGGGACAAACTAGAAATCACCTACGAAGGTACGGATCAAGTCCGAGAAGCCAAAATTGATTTTCTAACCCATGAATATGAATTGTTTCGTATGAAGGAAAACGAGAAAATCGATGAGATGTTTGAACGATTCTCCAAAATCGTCAATGATCTTCATGCTCTCAAGAAGACGTACACGGACAAGGAGCTTGTGAGAAAAATCCTGCGAAGTCTCACACCGGAGTGGCGCTCCAAAGCCGATGCCATCCAAGAGTCCATCGGCATCACCAACGTCACCATTGACGGGCTTAGAGGTAACCTCAAAACCTATCAGTCCACCATTCTATTCCCTTCTTTAGGTGAACAAAAGAAGAAGGGGATTGCACTCAAGGCTACCTCAAGTCAAGAACCCGCCATGGAGGAATCAAGCGATGAGGACAACGAGTTCGGGCTCGTCATCAAAAAGTTCCACAAGTTCATGCGAAAAGAGTATGAACGAAAGGGCAAAAAGCATGGAGGACCACCCAAGTGCTATGGGTGTGGAGAAGTTGGGCACATCAAGCCAAAATTCCCAAATGCCAAAAACGAGAAGGAGAAGAAACCGTTCAAGAAGCACCGAGCTTACATTTCATGGGGAGGTGATTCCGGCGATGAGTCATTGGAAGGCGAAGAGAATGAAAGCGCCAACCTTTGCCTCATGGCACATGAGGAACCACCGGAAGAGGTATGTTCCACTTCTAAAGATTCCTATACTTTGGATGATGTACAAGAAGCTTTTAATGAACTCTATGATGAATATGTCAATGCTTCTAAAATTAACAAGGATTTAAAGAAACAACTTACTTCCATGGAGAAGGAAGTTGATAACTTATCAAAATATAATGAAAAACTCAAGGAAGAAAATAAGTTTTTCGGAAAAAGAAGCGCCGACAAACCGGAGAGTTCAAAATGTAGTTCATGTACATCACTTAAAGAACAAGTTGCAAAACTTGAAGGAACCTTAAAGAAGTTTGGTGTCTCTCACAAAAATCTCAATGATGTTCTTGACAATTTGCAAGTTACTAAACATGGCTTAGGATTTGAAAATGAAACCAATAATAAGGAAAAAGTTGAGCAACCACCTAAACAACCTAAGGCTCAACTTAGGAAATCTAAAATGAACAATAATAGACAACCTACATCAACTAGGAACACTAGACCACCTAGAAAGAACACTAGGATAAACAATGGTCAAGTTAGAGAACCTAGAAACCATTTTCCAAATGTGCATAAACAAAACTTTTCTCAACCTAGGGTCAATCAATATAGAAAACCTAGCAATTATTATCAACCTAGGAGAATGCATAATCCAAATGTTATTTGTCATTATTGCAATAGGGTAAGACATATAGCCCCGGTTTGTTTCACTAGGCATAATCATTGCACTCAAAACCAATCACACTACGACTACCTGCGTGCAGTCAAACAACAACGACTACACGCTCAGCGAAACGCTGAGTGAAAATATACCTAAGCCAGCATCAACTCACAGAATAGTACCACATTAACATACAATCAACAACAACATGTGATCACGGAGAAAAATAGCTTAAATAAACATATTTATGTTAACACCTTCCATTTGAACATCATGTCCTAATTTTATTCCACATCAACTACTTTGAGTCATGGCACCCCAAGCGATGCTATAAAAGGGCCAGCTCAGAAACCCAAAGGAGATTCACTTTGGGCGGGTTGAAGCCCCTGTCCCTGCGATGCCAGGACAGGTCGCGG